TTCCTATGAAATCGGATCTATTAGTTAATCTTTTGCCAATATAAATAGAATATGTCCTCAATAGTGTGAGGCACAGTTTTGCATAAACTTGATATGGTATCAGAGCCGAAATAAGATCCACGAGATCCATAGCCTCTGCTGTTAGACATGTCAATCCCATTCAACACAATGTCTTCTCCGTCGATCAGTCAGGTGATTAGTGTTAAGCTTACACAAGAAAATTATCTACTGTGGTCTACCCAAATCCTTCCCTACTTGCGTAGCCAAAACCTTGTTGGTTTTGTGGATGGATCCATGCCTGCACCAAGCCAGACGATCGCCGTTGAACCAAGTGAAGAAACAGGGAATCGCAAAATTATCATCAACCCTGAGTTCACAGTCTGGTACCCCCAGGACCAGCTGGTACTCAGCCTCATCAACTCATCAGTCACTGAGGAGGTTCTCAGCACGATGGTTGGAATCACCACTGCACGAGAAGCCTGGATTACGCTGGAGCGACAATTTGCTTCCACATCTCGAGCAAGAGCAATGCAGATCCGTATGGAACTCTCTACTATCCAGAAAAAGGACATGACAATTGCTGACTACTTTCGTAAAGTAAAACATCTTGGTGATACACTTGCTGCCATTGGCAAGCGAATAGAGGATGAAGAACTCATCGCCTACATGCTGCAAGGACTTGGTCCAGATTATGATCCTCTAGTCACAAGCATTACAACCAGAACAGATGTATACACTGTCAGCGACGTGTATGCTCACATGCTGAGCTATGAGATGCGGCACTTGCGTAAGGGTACATTTGAGCAACTTTCATCTGCTAACAATGTCAATAGGATATCCATTCGTGGAGGTGCCAATGGAGGTCGAGGTAGTCGCGGTCGTAGTCGTCAGTTAAATAGTGGTCATGGACAATCAAGGCGTACTGTGAACAATCCTGGACGTCAACCATCAAAGACACAAAGCAGCTCAGGCATTGTCTGTCAGATTTGTGGTAAGCCCAATCACGATGCTTTGCAATGCTGGCACAGATTTGATCAGGCATATCAAGCCGAAAATAATCTCAAACAAGCAGCTTTGGCAACAAGTGGATACACTAGTGACACAAACTGGTATGTTGACACTGGAGCCACAGATCATATCACCAATGACCTAGAGAGGCTTACCACCAGAGAACGCTACACTGGCACCGACCAAATTCAGGTTGCAAATGGCGCAGGTTTGTCTATCTCTCATATTGGGAATTCATTAATTTCTGGTTCATCTCTTGTTCTGAAACATATCCTATATGTTCCTAAAATCAATAAGCACCTAATTTCAGTACAAAGACTAGCATCTGATAATAATGCTGTTGTAGAATTTCACCCAAACTATTTTTTGGTTAAGGACCGAGTCACGAAGAAACTCCTGCTCCACGGTAGATGTAAGAATGGCCTATACGTTCTACCGCATAATTTCAGTCAAGCCTTGCTGACAGCCAAACTTTCGAAAGAACAATGGCACAGAAGGCTAGGGCACCCTGCATCTCCAATTACCATTAGAATTCTACAAGATAATAATTTAGCTATAGATACTAATATTCCCTCTTCCTCAATTTGTAATGCTTGTCAATTAGGGAAAGCACATCAATTGCCATTTGGTTCTTCTCAGCATGTATCTACAGCACCCCTTCAATTAGTTCACACTGATGTATGGGGTCCATCCATTGCGTCAGTAAATAATTCCAAATATTATGTTTCCTTTGTTGATGATTTTAGTCGTTATGTTTGGATTTACTTTCTGAGATGCAAATCTGATGTTGAGTCTGTGTTCCTTCAATTTCAAAAACATGTTGAAACTATGCTAAATACCAAAATTCGCTCCGTCCAATCAGATTGGGGGGGTGAATACCATCGGTTACACAATTATTTCAAATCCACAGGCATTGAACATCATATCTCCTGTCCTCACACACACCAGCAGAATGGGTTAGTCGAAAGAAAACACAGACACATTGTAGAAACTGGCCTTGCTTTACTCGCTCAAGCCAACATGCCTCTATCCTACTGGGATGAAGCTTTCAACACAGCTTGCTTTCTTATAAATAGAATGCCCAGCCGAACCATACAACAAGACACACCACTTCATAAATTGTTTGGTAAAAGTCCAGACTACTCCATGCTTAGGGTGTTTGGCTGTGCTTGCTGGCCTAATTTAAGGCCTTACAACAACAAGAAACTGAGTTTCAGAACTACTAGATGTATATTCTTGGGTTATAGTTCTTCTCATAAGGGATATAAATGCTTAAATAGAAGTACAGGACGTATTTACATCTCTAGAGACGTGGTTTTCGATGAAAATATTTTTCCTTTTGAAGAATCTAAGCCACCAAACAAAACCACAAATCCACATCATCCTGTTCTACTTCCAGCCTTAGCCAAACTTGCTAGTTTTTACACTGAAAATGCTCTTACAGATATTGAACCAGTTGTTAGTAATTCCCATATGAATGATGGTCAAACTGATAATATTGCTAGTGACAACTTGTCTGGTGTCAGCTTATCTTCTGCAGATAATACAAGAAGTTCAGAGGAAATTGCAGAATATGAAGCTGAGAGCAGTTCGATCAATGCTCAAAACCAAACTCATGAACATGTGTCTGATCAACCAACTGAAGCAGCTAGTCAACATCCAATGCGAACAAGGTTGAGAAATAACATTGTACAAGCTAAACAATTCACTGATGGAACTATCAGATATTCAGAAACCTCAAGAAAATTCGCAAGCGCTGTAACTATCACAACTCCGATCATAGAGACTGCTACTGAACCTCGAAACCTGCAGGAAGCCATGCAACATCCAAGATGGAGAGGAGCAATGAATGATGAGCTCTCAGCGCTAAAACGAAATGCCACTTGGGATCTAGTTCCACCCAAACCTGGAATAAATCTCATTGATAGTAAATGGGTGTATAAAGTGAAAAGAAAAGCAGATGGGTCAGTTGAAAGATTAAAAGCAAGATTAGTTGCCAAAGGATTCAAGCAAAGATTTGGTGTTGATTACACTGATACTTTTAGCCCTGTGATCAAACCGTCAACAATCAGGGTCATTCTTTCGCTAGCAGTAACCAAGGGCTGGAATATGAGACAAGTTGATATCCAAAATGCATTTTTGCATGGAATTCTGAAAGAGGAAGTGTACATGCGACAACCACCAGGATTTCAAGACTCAGCCAAACCAAAGAATTACATATGCAAGCTCAAGAAAGCCCTTTATGGCCTGAAACAAGCCCCAAAAGCTTGGCATTCAAGGTTGACTGGAAAACTTATTGAGTTAGGCTTCAAGGCTTCAGTAGCTGATTCATCTCTTTTTATTCTCAAAAACAGAGAGATAACTATCTATATGCTCATCTATGTTGATGATATAATTATTGTGAGCTCCTCTGATCAAGCAACCGAAAGGTTGATTCAGAAATTGAAAATAGATTTTGCAGTAAAAGATTTGGGTGATCTTGAGTATTTTCTGGGTATTGAAGTCAAGAAAACACGAGATGGTATCATACTGTCACAGAGACGATATGCCTTAGATTTGTTGAAAAGAGTAAACATGGAAAAATGCAAACCTATGTCTACACCAATGGGTTCTGCTGAAAAATTATTCAGAGAACAAGGAATACCCTTATCAGCTGAAGAACAATTCAAATACAGAAGTACAGTGGGAGCACTACAATATTTGACAATGACTAGGCCTGATTTGGCATTTGCTGTCAATAAAGTGTGTCAATATCTTCATACACCTACTGATGCTCATTGGGGTGCTGTGAAGAGAATTCTTCGTTATGTTAAAGGCACACTAGCATTAGGAGTGAAAATTCAGAAATCAACCATGATGTTGTCGGGGTTTTCTGATGCTGATTGGGCTGGTTGTCCCGATGATCGACGTTCAACTAGCGGCTTTGCTGTATTTCTTGGAGCAAATCTAATCTCATGGAGTTCCAGAAAACAGGCTACAGTGTCAAGATCAAGCACCGAAGCAGAATACAAGGCCATTGCGAATCTTACTGCAGAAATGATTTGGATCAAGTCATTACTGAAGGAACTGGGCGTGTATCAATCAAAGGCTCCTCGCCTCTGGTGTGACAACCTCGGAGCTACATATTTAACTTCAAATCCAGTATTTCATGCTAGAACGAAACATATTGAAGTTGATTTTCATTTTGTTCGGGAACAAGTAGCACGTAAAGCAATGGAAGTTCGGTTCATTTCATCAAGTGATCAAGTAGCTGATATCCTGACAAAACCACTGTCTAAAACTCCTTTTACTACACATTGTAACAATCTCAACATGTACAAGACTTGTTGGGATTGAAGGGGACTGTTAGAATTGGTCAATCCATTAGAATAGCTTGAAGTTAGTCATGCCATAAGAATAGGCTTACTTCGTTAGTTTCCTATGAAATCGGATCTATTAGTTAATCTTTTGCCAATATAAATAGAATATGTCCTCAATAGTGTGAGGCACAGTTTTGCATAAACTTGATACTTCCATCACCAATTAATAAACAAAATGCAGCTTTTTTTACCACTTACTCGAAAGCTTAACGTAGAAAATGAGTTGCAGGTAACTCTGTGCTTGGACCATTAACTTCACAACTACTTCACGCGGTGACGCTTGCCGGTGGATACAATTTCCCCAGAAATTGCATAAATGGTATAGAGTTGTAGTAATTGAAGTTAAAATAACCCGTTTTTTTTTCCAGGAAAGAACCATCCAAATACAGAAACAGAAGTCAAGATCTAGAGTGACCTATTTGCAACCGTTTGATCGATCGATTATGAAAAAGGATATGACTTTCTAACTGGGTTCTTTTTAAAGATTCTTTCAGATATACCCATGCACGAAAATTCGTGAAAATTCAGTGGGAAGAAGGGATTAAAGATAATAACAAAGAAAATAATAATAATAATAACACCGTTTGAGCAGGGGAGTGTTGCTATAAATGAAAAAGGGGCAGAGGAGCCGGAAGACACTAACGAGAAATGGAGATGAAGGGGATGAGTAAATTAAAAGCTCCATTTTGGTTGATTTGGGGTTTGTTGATTTGGGTTGGGTTGAGTTGTGGGGCGAAGATTGATGGGGAAGAGGAGGTAATGAATGAAAACAGGACAACGGTGAATTTGATACATGTAGGGGCGGTTGTTGATAAGCTGACTCCGTCCATTGGTGGGGCTGCAGAAAAATGCATTCAAATGGCACTGACGGATTTCTATGCAGCGCATCCACATTATCGCAACAGATTGGTTATGAAGATCAGAGATTCACAGGATGTGGTCGCCGCAACGTCGGCTGGTGAGGTTTTCTTTGCCCTATTTTTTGGCTTACTTTTGTTGGGACTAATGAATTTTGAACGTGGCTCGTGACCCTCGTCGAAGCTGGCTGAAGAAATATCTTTGTTTCGATTGAGAATCCGACGAAGTCAGTCGGAGGTTGTTGACGGTAGGGAGAGAGGAGGGTTCTAAATATTTTTTAAAAACTATTTCAAGGTGGTTCATAATTGGGTTCTACAAAAATTATTAAAATTATTAAAATTGCACTCGAACAAATGTTTCAAAAGTTTTTTTTTTTTTTTTTAAAAAAACTTTGGGCTCAATTGATTTATCTCATATCACGAAGATTTAAATGGTTGAACTTATTTTAGAGTCAATTTTCCTCATTCTTGACAATATTTATATTTCACACTTGTAGAGGACACGAAAGCTACTAATGTGACATTCCAAAGAATATCATCTTAGCAATGTATTATATATTATTTTGATATAAAAGACCCATGTTCTAAAAATATACATTTTCCCTTAATGTCATATTTGTATCCTAATTCTAAGAATAAAATTTTAGTAAAAACATATTTCAATAACTATTCTTATCTCAATAATACCTTTAAATTAAAAAGAAAAAAAAAATCTAAAAAATACTTGTAGCATGACTAATTACTTTAACTTTAAATTTTTTAAAAGTTGCATTAACACCATTTACTTTTATAGAAATTTTTTTACCATCAATATATAGACAAAAACTATCTACTAACACTTTATAAATTATCTCCAAAAATTTTAGTACATGTGTTAGTTTAAAATTTGTTTTAAAATTTTTAAAAAAGTTTTAAAGGTTACTAAGGAAAATATTAAAACAACTGAAACACAGTTAAAAAAAAAATTAAAACAAAGTATTTACCATATTCTTAGTAGTTTTGAATTTTTTGAAAGTTTTTTTTTTTTTGAAAAATTGAAAGGTGTTATTAAAAATCTTAAAAAGTTACCCACAAAATTGAATGGTATTTTTATTAATTTAGTAATATTTATATATACTATATACTTTCATATTAATAAATAAATGATGTGGTAATTTAAGGCACTAAACTATGTGAGATTAAACTGGAACAAGTGTGAGTTGGAGTTCATTAAAAGAGAGTTAATTTTCATTACTTTAAAAGACTTTAGAGTATGTTTAATAAATAAGTGACGTGGATAATATTAATGGTTGCAGTGGTGGATTTAGTGAAGAACCAAAAAGTGCATGCAATAATAGGGCCAGAAAGTTCGAGCGAGGCAACGTTTATGATAAAGCTAGGCGAGAAGGTTCGCGTGCCAATCATTTCATTTTCCGCCACCAGCCTCTCCATTTCTCCCTCGCAGAGCCCCTTCTTCGTCCGAACTGCCCAAAACGACTCGTCTCAGGTCAAAGCCATCACCGCCATCGTCCAAGGGTTCGGTTGGCACGAGCTCGTCCTCATCTACGAAGACACTGAATATGGCAAAGGCCTCATCCCTTTCCTCACCGACGAACTCCAACAATCCAACATTCGAGTCCCTTATAAATACGCTATTGCTACCTCCATGGATGCGTACCAAATTTCGGAACAGCTCAATAAGATGAAGAACCGGCAGACTAGGGTTTTCTTGGTGCACGTCACTTCTCCATTTGGCTCTGTTCTGTTTCCGCTTGTGGACAAAGCGGGGATGATGAGTGAAGGCTATGCCTGGATTCTCACCAACTCTCTTTCCAATTGTCTTGACGCCATGGATCCTTTGGTTATCAAATCAATGGAGGGTGTTTTAGGTATCCGCCCCTATTTCCCTGCTTCAGAAGCGCTGGAGAGTTTCAAAAGGAGATGGAAATGGTCGACGCCGGAGCTTAACATCTATGGCTTGTGGGCATATGACACCATTTGGGCGTTGGCTACGGCGGCTGAGAGGATAGGGGAAGGGAACAATCTACGGTTTCTCAGGGGTCAGGGTAGTGATGTCGAGGGGAAAACCGATATTGCGAATTTGGGGGTTTCGGAAGTGGGTCCGAAGCTGTTGAAGGAGATGTTGAATATCAAATTTCAGGGTTTGAGTGGGAATTTCCACTTGGTAGATGGGCATTTGCAGCCCTCGGCTTTTGAAATTTTCAATCTGATTGGGAGAGGAGAGAGATTGATTGGTTGTTGGAGTCCTGAAAAAGGCATTTGCCGAAACATATCTGATACAAAACCTACTGAAAAATATTCCACTTCAGTCAGTAAGCTGAAGAAGATAATTTGGCCGGGAGACTCCATAACTGCACCAAAAGGCTGGGCTGTGCCTGCAAATGGAGAAAAATTCAGAATAGGAGTTCCCAAAAAACAGGGGTTTAATGAGTTTTTGGATGTGACTAGAAACCCTCTAACGGGGGAGCTTAATTTTTCTGGGTTTTGCATAGATGTCTTCAGGGCTGTTGCAGATGCCTTGCCTTTCCCTTTTCCTTATGAATTTGAACTCTCCAGGGATGAAGCTGGGGACAGCTCTGTTATTTATGATGACCTCCTCCACCAACTCAACGAGAATGAGAAGGTCAGTGCTCTCCCATTTTACTTTAATCTCAATTATTGCTTTATGGCCATGTCCAGCAATATGTCCCAGAATTTGCGTCCATAGCTTCTGCTCTTCTTTGACTACCAACATTTTTCAATGTTCCAGTCACTTGGACAAAGTTAAAATCTGATATCCAAGATAATAACACGAGCTTTTATATTTAGTATTATAAATTCCTTATATTCCTATGTTCACATTGGACTATCAACAATGCATTGAAGTAGAGAGTAATATACTAATTTTGATGAATTGAAGGGTTGACGCTTATCTTATGTTTGTTTTAACTTTTTGGGTACGAGAAGAAATTCGATGTGGTCGTAGGAGATATTACGATTGTGGCCAGCCGAGCAAATTATGTAGATTTCTCATTGCCATTTACCGACTCGGGCGTGACAATGCTCGTTCCAGTCAAACGCAACTTGCATCATAGTATGTGGGTTTTCTTGAAACCTCTGAGCTTGGGTCTATGGCTTACGGCCATAGCAGTTTCCATAGCAACAGGAGCTGTTCTACTGATCTTAGAGCACAATGGAAGAAGTGAATCGTTGCGTCCATTGAATCTACTCTGTTTAATCCTCTGGTTTCCCGTCTCCTCCATGGTTCTCCCTGAAAGTAAGCCCAATTTCTTTCTATATGCTTGTCGGATTGAGAAACAAGAAAATTGAAGTTCCCGTTTTTTTTCGTTGAACAGGACAAATAGTGACTAATACACGCTCTAGGTTTGTGCTTGTGGTTTGGTTGTTTCTGGCTTTTGTCCTAATGCAGAGTTACACCGCAAGCTTGTCTTCAATCTTAATGTCAGATCAGCTACAGCCCAAGTATTTTAGCGTGAGTGAACTTATATCCAAGGGCTACTACGTTGGATATCAAAAGGGTTCCTTTTTAAAATCTATGTTGATAGAGCAGCTGAAATTTAATGAATCCAAGCTGAAATCTTATGCAAACGTTGAGGAGTATCGTAAGGCATTGTCCAAAGGAAGTCAAAATGGGGGTGTTGCTGCAATCTTTGATGAAATTCCTTACCTGCAGGTTTTCCTTACAAAATATGGCTCCGATTTCACTATGGCTGGACCTAAATATCGAACAGACGGATTTGGCTTTGTAAGTGTCTCTTAAACAATATTCAAAGTTTCTCAATTCGTATGTGCACTTGATGAGTAATAGTCAAGGGGCAAAAACAGGAACCATCCCATTGCTCAAAAATCAAATTTTGCTTTTGTTTTGGCCTTAAAAGTTGAGTTCTTGACACCATGTAACTGAGAATGTGTTATTATTATGTGAACAGGATCTGTTCTATTAGTTGTACTACTTTTGTATGTATTATTATTATAGTGGTTCAACTTCAACTGAAGTTGCTTGTTAATTTCAGGCATTTCCACTAAATTCCCGGTTAGTACCTTATGTATCAAGAGCAATATTGAACGTGACAGAGAGCGAGAAAATGGTGGCAATTCAAACAAAATACTTTGGAGCTGGAAATCAAAATCAAGACAGCTCAATCTCCTCCCCGAACAGTCCATGTCTAGAGGCGTCGAGCTTCGGGGGCCTCTTTATAATCACCGGCATATCGCTGCTGCTGGCTTTGATCGGCTCAAAAACCTTCATCTGGCAAAAACCTGCTTCAGTGGCAAAGACCTACTACAGAAAATATGTGTCGTTTCAGCAGCATTTGCATTCTGATGTGAAGGATAAGGTAATGGACGACAGGTTGAAATTGCCAAATACTAACACATTGGAGACTGTTTCAGCTGGTGCGGATCATGGCTGCCACGATGGAAGTGCGAGTCCCGCAAAGCATGTCACAGAGAGCACTAGCTAGCTTTAATCTTCGATCAACACAACTTTTCTACACTTAAAAATAGCATTCAAAGCAACCATTTTCATATGGAAATCGCGCCAGATGATCATAGATTTTAACTGGGTCAGTTCTAATGCTTTGATCTTCCCAATTGAAGTAATCCCCCAATGGAAGAAAAAAAATTATGATTCAGTTCATCTAGTCGATTCCAGCAACTTGTTGATCTCAATCTGATATGGTCAACAGACTTGATTTCTGTTATTTCTTCCGTTCCCACATTGATTGAGATTGTTTCAAGAAACAAAAAGAACTAGATGAATAGGTTCAGGTCATAAATTCTAGCGGTTGGTTGGATAGGAATTGAACTGAAGATGATACAGTTAGACATGTTTCTCCTGAAATAATTCTAAATACAGATAAAGTTTAGTCCTATCTGCAAAAATTATGTACATCTGAAATCCAAATATTAGAATCTCTGTCTATAGATTGAGTGTATTGCTTGTTATATCTTATCATCATACAATCAAATACGCAACTACGTTTATACAGGCCGTGATATGTGATATTTGCCTATAAACATGTAATGCAAAATTTCCAGCAAAATTCGGAAAAACCATTATGTTGTAATGTCCAGCGCGCAGGTACGTCCGTTTAGTCTTCTTTATATTAAAGTAATGTGTCCGTGAAAGGTATGATTTCAGTCTTGACCATCAATATTTCTCAGGCTGCGCTGGCTTCCTTCTGCAAGCTGCGTTATTGCTTGCTCACAAACTGGGATAAGAAAATCAATTCTTCATGACCTCCCTGAACGGCAAGGCCAAAGCCATTATTATGACAAGATTTGCAGCCCGATCATGCTTGTCCAAAGTATGTTTTCCATCGCTAATCTCTCTACTCCATAGACATTACATCTCTGATTGCATACCCATTTACCATCTTTGATCATGAATTGTCATCAAAGTTTTGGAAGAAAATTCTGATTTATGGCGAATCATTGTACATATGGGTAAATATAGTTGCTTTCTATGGTGTCTTCATATAAGACGCGTTTGAATCATAGAATAGAATTTGCATCTGATATGTCCATAATCACATATAATGAGGTACATTATTAGTTGAAGTGCATTATTCTCATGTAATCTGTAAAATATTCGTTATTCCCAAATTTCATTGGGAATGTTCAAGATGGTTGGATGATAATAACCATGACTATCGGTCGACTTGTTAAGTCCAAGTTGGTCGGCCCAAAACTCAGACTCCAAAGGAATTTGATAGTAACTGAAGTAGTTCAGGGTGCAGTAGGAGAAGGCAGAATGAGTGAAAATTATGAGGCCCTTCTAGTGATTTATATCGTGTTTTAATATTCGGAGTATTTAGGTTGTTGTAGGCATAGGCAATAAAGTGAAAAGGAAAGGGATCCTGAAGACTTTGTGGAGATGAACATGAAGAGAGGTACTGAAAAGAGAAAAGTTTGACTTGTAGATGTTTTGGGGAAGGCAGCTTTATGGGCGGCTGTTGCGCAGACGCATGTTTCCGTTTCAGCTTTCCTTGTTTTCCTTCTCTTACCCTCTTGGTTTGCTACGATTTAGCTTTCCCATTGGCAGCTTTTGTTGCCTTTTTTAAGGGTCGTGCTCTGCCTTTTTCAACTTTAGTTTCCTCTGCCTTTACACCCCCTGAGAATCAGAATCTCTTACATAAGAACAGAAAGCGCACCCACACTCACTTTTAATTCCACCCCTTCCACACAAACTTCACCACTAATAAAAATGTGTGTTGGTATTGATTATGCCGACAAGGGGTTGGGTGTTATTGATTGTTGAGGATGAGGAAGTTCCACAGCCCCACACAGACTTCACCACTAGATAAAGCATGTCTGTCTCTTTTGCAAATGTATCTAAAAGTGTATACCATTGATGACCTTTTTGAAGCTTGTATTAGAAGTATAATAGATTATTGTTGATTAATGTTTAGAAGAAAAGTTGAATCATTTAGTCATTTTGAGTATTAACAATGTTATCATCAACTCAAAGAGGGAAGTTGGATTGTAAAGGAAGGCCTTTGTGGTGGCTTTTTGTATTTGGTCATCTCAAAAGCTACACAACTTAGCTTTATTCTAAAACTATAGGAAAGGTAGTGGTGGGGATTGGATTGGAGAGAAAGTCCACATGCTTTGGATGCAAGAAGCTACCTAAACTTTTTAAAGGTGATGCTTCTCAAATTTCCCTCAAACTTTGCAAAAAGTACTTTTATTCCCCATCTTGAAGTTTGACCTTCATCCAACAAAAATTACCATATTGCCCATCCATATTGCTAATTCTTTGCCAGAAATCAAGTGGGGTTTGGCTTTTTTGTGGCGTAGAAGAGTTTAGGTCTGATTGTTGGGTCCCGATCATAAATCTTGGAGGTCAATCTTTTCGCTATCAGCTATCACCTTTGGAAAGCCATGAATCATAAATCTGTGGAGTTAGCTGTGTCATTCGGTTCCTGTTTATAAAAAAGAAGAAAAACATGAAGTTAATATTATGCATTTCTATTGATTGTTTTTTTTTTTTTTTTTAAATATGAGGTTTTTGTTATTTTGTTGCGTGCAAATAGACTCTTCTTTCTAATTATTATAAGTAATAATGATTTTAAAAGATACATAAACAGTACAAAAAGAAAAAAAAGGGTTGTGAATAATTGCCATTTTAATAATTGAAAAGCAAGATGGGTCCACTAATGAAAAGGGTGGGAAAAAAAGGAAGGTGATAATTAAATTAAAAGGAGAAGGAGAGGGGAGGGGGAGTGGATAAGAGGCAAAAGCAACCCAAGTTTTGAAAAAATTAATAATTATAGACACATGCCGAAAGGCACAATGACGAGAGAAAGACAAACTACACCCTTTTATTCGTTCTTGTCAGATGTTTTGATTGGAGAGGAGAATAAAATATTTTTTTTATAAAAGTATGAAAACATATTCCTAATATATCCGACCATGCTCTTTTATCACCTTTTAAATTTAGTGCGGATGCGTGTTAAAGGGTTTAGATGAGATATTTGATAGAAAAGGGGTGAGTGGAGATTGAGAGGGGGTTAGGTCAAAGTTAATGCAGATGGAATCGGGTGGCGAGTCAGGCTGACCAAGTCAAATCGTGTGGGGGGTGAGGCGAGGCCAACTTGGAGAAACCATATGGCGGCAAAGTGAACCAAACCCGAAGCCGCGTTCAATACCTTTTAATTTGTCAAACCTAATTAATGAAACAGCACTTCCCTTTGTTTCCCCACCGACCTATTTAATTTTAACTCACCTCCCCCAAATATTTTTCACATCTTTTCTATAACATTTTTAGTTTTATTACTATAAATTATATAAAATCAAGCCCCTCTCCTTCTGTTGGAGTCTCATATCTTGGTATATACACCGTTTGATGTCTAACTCGGATACTATGATCTTTAAGCTTAAATGGTACGATATTTATTAAAGGAAAAAGGAAATGGAAGTGGCGAGCTTTAGCGGTTAGTAATAATTTAGATGGAGGAGCAAAAGTGGGGGAATACGACAAAAGAAAGAAGGATATGATTTTAAATAGTTTTATTGTGAGGGGGTAAATCTGTCATTTGGAAGGCATGAAAAGTTGGGGAAGAAGGTTCATGTGACAGGAGGGGGCATCTAATCATCTAAATGTTACCTTTTTGGGAGGTGGAATTCTACCTTATAAAATTGCATTTAACTCATTATTTAATTAATTTTAAAAGTTAAACTGGAAGAACTCACAACACCACACAACAGACAGACAGGAAACTAAAGATAGATTGTAGATGGGAATGCCCCGAGTAGTCTACTTGTCTTACTTTTCAGCAACTTCCATCACCCTCTCTCTCTTCTTCTGGGTGCGAAGCTCTGAATTTTCCTCACTCCTTCATCTTCCTCTCTGCTCTCCAAACAACATATATACAACACAGGCATCAGATTCAATGGGGATTTGATTTTCTTTTCTTTCTTTTCTTTTAATTGGTTGAATTTGTAAAACAATATAGATTCTGGAAATGAGAGCCGGGCTTGGTACGATTCTGCAAACTCTGACGTCGGAGGCCGCAAGTATTTTGAACCAGTCAATTGCCGAGGCGGGTCGCCGTAACCATGGCCAGACTACGCCGGTCCATGTGGCTGCAACTCTGTTGGCTTCGCCAACTGGGTTCCTTCGCCAGGCCTGCATCAAGTCCCATCCCAATTCATCGCACCCACTTCAGTGCAGAGCTCTCGAGCTCTGTTTCAGCGTCGCTCTTGAGCGATTACCGACGGCCCAAAACGTCTCCGCCGGCTCAGAACCACCGATTTCCAATGCGCTAATGGCAGCTCTTAAACGTGCTCAAGCTCACCAACGTCGCGGCTCTTCCGAATTGCAGCAACAGCCCATGTTAGCGGTGAAGGTTGAGTTCGAGCAGCTAGTTATATCGATTCTCGATGACCCAAGCGTCAGTAGAATTATGCGGGAGGCGACCTTTTCGAGCCCTGCTGTTAAAGCTACGATTGAACGGTCTTTGAACTCGTCGGCATCTGTGGTGAATTCGCCCCCTATTGGATTAGGTAGCCACCCTTCTCCGATGCCTAATCGGAATCTTTATTTGAATCCACGGCTGCATCAAGGAAATGTTTCCCAATTGGGTCAACCGAGAGGAGAGGAAGTGAAACGAATCATGGATATTTTGCTCAGAACGACCAAGAGAAATCCAATCATAGTTGGGGATTCGGAAACAGATGCAATGGTAGAAGAATTTATCAGGCGGATTAACAAGAAAGAACTGACTGAAGGGCCGCTGGAGAATGCTGAGATTATATATTTCGAGAAGGAACTTTCATCAGATGGAGCACAAATATCCACAAAACTTGAAGAATTGGAAGATACGTTAGCGACCCGAATGACCAAATCAAATTGCGGGAGTGTAATTCTAAACTTGGGGAATCTAAAATGGTTGATTGAGCAGCCGGCGAGTTCTGTTCCCCCAGGTTCCGGCGTGGTGCTGCAGCCAGTTGTATCAGAGGCCGGCCGCGTTGCCGTTCAGAAGATTGGAAAGCTATTGATAAGGTTCAGGGAGGAAACTGCTGGCCGGCTGTGGTTGATCGGAACTGCTACTTGTGATACCTTCTTGAGATGCCAAATCTATCATCCCTCCATCGAAAATGATTGGGATTTACACGTTGTTCCCGTTGTGGCTAAAGCCCCTCGTTCTGGGTTATATCGAAGGTATATTTTTTATTCTCTATCCTTTTTATTTCATTAAGTTTATTGATTGTTATGCTATAAGATCTTTTGGGGCATCGCAGAAATCAAGTAAAAGCTGGAAAATTTAGGCATAGAGTTGTAGAACCCTTCTTTCCCAGAAATGTTTCTGTGATTATGTTACTATTGTTTGGAAATGACTATCATTTCTTTTGTTCTTTTCAGTTGGGTATTGAGTCTTTTTTTATTTTGTTCATTTAGGCTTGGAACAAAGGAGATTCTAGGAAGTTCAACTGAATCATCGTCGCCATTGAAGTTCTTTCCAACTCCTCCCATTACCCAACTGAGACATGAATCTGAGACTCTAAATTCTGGTCCGGAAAGAACTTGCTGCCCACAGTGTATGCACAAGTATGAAGAAGAACTACAAAGACTCATGAACGAGGAGTCTGAGAAATCTTCTTCAGGAGTCAAAACCGATAGCAATCACGCTCTTCTGCCGCACTGGCTGCAAAGGGCTAAAGCTGATGCACCTAATGTCGAATCAATTGATTCAAAACAGGTAACTTAAGACTCAAATTTAACTGCAACTTGATATGTTACCTTGCAGAGTAAGTTAGTTAAATTATGTTTGTGTTTTATTGTAGAGTAAGGACCATGAATTGGTAAAGCAGAGGACCCGAGAGCTGCAAAAGAAATGGAATAATACATGCTTGCGCCTTCATCCCAATTTTCATCAGCCAAACTTTTGCAGTTCTACAGGAATCTCGACAATGGGATTATATAGCCATAACTTGCTCAAGTCACATCCCTGTCAGCCTAGGTTAGAACTGAATAAAAGCCTTGGGAGAGCTCTAGAGCTGAATATGAATCCACA